TATTTTCCACACTGCGCCTCCTCTGAGCCTCGGTATGCTGTTCTCTTTCCGTCTAGTTGAAGAATCTCTCCTCAGCCAGCTTTCCTGTGGTTCTGGGTGATGTCTGTTCCGTCTTTTAGTTGTATTTTTGAAGTGGTTGTTTGCGGCAGCAATCTCCGGTGTTTACCTATGCTGCCATCTTGGTTCTAAATATTTATGTTTTAATAGGAGCATAATTTGTGGGGTTTTTTTAATTATGTTTTTATTGATTTTAGAGTAGGGGGAGAGAGAGAAACATTGATGAAAAAAGAGAACCACCAATAACGCTGCCTCCTCCACACCCCCTACTGGGAATCGAGCTTGTAACAAGCTCTCAGTGCATGGGACAGCACTCAACCAACTGAGCCACACTGGCCAGGGTTCATGGGAGCAATAGTTTAAATGCTTTTGCTAAATGTTGTTTTTCTTTTTACAGTTAGTTCATCTAACATAAGGTAAGTTAGGTAATAAACTATATTTAGTTTCTTTAACATGAAGCTTTTAGCCTCAGTGAAAATTATGCACTGCTCATTGGTTTCTCTAAAATAATATTTTATGTTGCAGAGTTTTTAAAGTATTTTAGTAATGGACATTCGATAGTCAGATATTCTGTATTACATATGTTTGTTATATAGGTAAAAATAATGAAGATCCAGACAGATAAAGGCAAGCTTACTTCATGTCACAAACTTTTCTTTACTTTTGCACAAAGTAATTACTTTGGAACTTTTGACAGCATATAGATTTGAAAATGGATGTGGAATGATCATTATCCTTATGCAGCATAATGTATCGTATTCTCTTTATGGAACTTTGTTCTTATGGTTTACAGATCCGGGGATGTGTGATAAAGCTACCTCATATTTGTAAGGAGGGTGCTTTTACTTTTACGAAGTATTTTCTACCTTTATTATGAGACTAGAGACCCAGTGCATGAAATTCCTGCACTCAGGGGGTCTCTCAGCCTGGCCTGTGCCTTCTCGCAGTCTGGGAGCCCTCAGGGGATGTCCGACTGACAGGGAGTGGGCCTAAGCCGTCAGTCGGACATCCTTAGCACTGCCGTGGAGATGGGAGAGACTCCCACCACCGCCACTGTGCTCGCCAGCCGTGAGCCTGGCTTCTGGCTGAGCGGCACTCCCCCTGTGGCAATGCACTGACCACTAGGGGGCAGTTCCTGCATTGAGCATCTGTCCCCTGATGGTCAGTGTGCATCATAGCGATCGGTCGTTCCACCATTCGGTTGATTTGCATATTAGCCTTTTATTATATAGAATGGGATAGTTTTTCTGTTGGGTTCCTCTGTTTGAGGGCCTCTTTCAAGTTTCTTTGGTATAAGTACTGAGGTTCTGTAGGTTTTGCTGCTGTTTTTGCCTTTTGCCTTGTGATTCTCACAATGACAGACTTATACCAGGTTACCTCTCCAATAGATGCAATACAGTTGAGGCTAGAAAATTCTGTGGAACTACTCAGATAGACCCGAAACTTTATTAAAATACGTATCTACCCATCACATCCTGTCTCCCACTTCTTACTCAGTAAACTAATGTTCAGTGTACTCTGCAAACTATTTCTGAGTCACCTAAAGATTAATCTAGCAGAAAATAAAATTTACCTTTCATTTTACGTTTTTGGTGGAATCAGGAGGTGGATTGTGATTATCTAACACATTTTGGACACCTTTTGGCAAATAATGTTCTACCTGCATTTATCTGTATTTTTTCTAAGATGCAGTGAAAAGTCTTAGTAGATTGTGTTTCTCACATTTGAATTAAACCTGCTGCTAAATAATTTTCCTTCTCTGCTATGTACACCCTTTTAGAACTCAACTGGTTTGCATTTCACCAGGACAGGTTAGAGGGCCAAAAAGTACAGTGAGTCAAAGTATTGAGTGTTTTAAGAGAAAAACAGCTGGCCAGTAGCATGGTGTACTACTATGAAGGTGAGAGGATGAGAACTGATGTGTGCTGCCTGGAAATAAAGTGGCTAGATGGGGTAAAGAGAGCATGGTTTAATTCAAGTGTTGGACCAGATATGCCTTGAAGCATTAGTTGGTCCTGTCATCCAGGAACAGTCCGGTATAGGATGTAGAGATTGGCCAGGCTGGAGTAATTTTGTTTTCTTTCTGTAATGAATAGCCCAAATTTAATTTGGCCCTAGGCCAGTGAGGGAGTGGTTAATTTCATGGATTCCTTAGAACCATTTTGGCAGTAATTTCTTTTAAATTAGTGTTCTTCCTACAATTAAATATAGAACATTGAATTTTGATGTACACCCGCTCCTTCCCACCTGCTCTGTCATTTATGTCCCACCCACTCTTACCCAACACTTTAGTGAGCTTCAGTCTTTTTACCTATTTTTCCATCTATCAAACTATTTTTTTATGTATGGCACTGCATAAGGGAAGATTGGTTCTGTATGTCAGTGTGAGATCAGTGATTATGGGCCAAGTAAGTATCTGGGTGCAGAGAAGCGGCATGGGACTTGTTCTGGCATTTCTGCTCTGTAACATTCTCTCAGGAGCTATGCTGCCACTTAGGGCAAAACAGGAGTGGACTCTTGTCCTCTTTTTTCTTCTCTTAGATGGAAACTACAGTAGGATTTTGTAGTTCTTCTGCTCCTGTGGTTGGTGCGTCTCACCTGTTCCAATCCTAGTTCCTCCAAAGAGTGAAGCACTGATTCTGTCCCTTTTTGTTACCCCTTTCTAAATTAGCTCCTTATGAATTTCAGAGCAAGGCACTCAACAGTTCTTGACTGAAGTTCAGAGGGGGGTTCCTTGTGGAGCTGGTAGTTTAGCTGCTCTTCTCTCACCACAAAGCAGTCTTTTCCCTCTGTGCCATTTCTCAGTAGTTCCTACTTACTGGCTTCATATGTCCAGGGGTCCTGAGATTCAAGCTATTGTTGCCATTTGGTTTCCCTAGTATCTCACATCTTAAGGTATCTCTCTTTTGTGGCACCCTTTGACTCTTTTCATTTTTTAAAATATATTCTTACTGATTTCAGAGAGGAAGGGAGAGGGAGAGAGAGATAGAAACATCAGTGATGAGAGAGAGTCATGGATTGGCTGCCTCCTGCACACCCCCTACTTGGGATCGAGCCTGTAACCGAGGCATATGCCCTTGACCGGAATCGAACCTGGGACCCCCCCCAGTCCGCAGTCCAACACTTCATCCATTGAGTCAACCAGCTAAACTCTTTTTAAAATCCTGTGTTATTGTCCCGTGAAAGACTTAATACTATTTTTCTAGGTAATTTTTTTAAAATATATTTTATTGATTTTTTACAGAGAGGAAGGGAGAGAGATAGAGAGAGTTAGAAACATCGATGAGAGAAACATCGATCAGCTGCCTCCTGCACATCTCCTACTGGGGATGTGCCCACAACCCAGGTACATGCCCTTGATTGGAATTGAACCCAGGACCTTTCAGTCCGCAGGCCGACGCTCTATCCACTGAGCCAAACCGGTTTCGGCTAGGTAATTTTTTTAAATCATCCTTTGGAGAAGGCATACCAAGTGGAAAAGAACTCCTAACTTGTCACTGGAAGTTTTGGGTCGAGCCATTTAATGTCTCCATTTGCTCTTATAGTTCTAAATTAGGTTAGGGGAATTTCAGAAGGCAAGAAATAGCTAGAGGCAAACTTTTAACTATAATTTGATGAAAGAATCAAAGAGGAATGACCAGATAATTTTTAACACTTACATCTTTTGTAAATTTTGGTTTTGATGTTAGCCTTTTATTCTCAGTTGCTTTAGGTCGCAACCAGCCTTTGAAAAAGGAGAAACCTAAATGGAAAAGCGATTATCCCATGACAGATGGACAGCTGCGCAGCAAAAGGGATGAATTTTGGGATACTGCACCAGCTTTTGAAGGCCGTAAAGAGATTTGGGATGCCTTGAAGGCTGCAGCACATGCTTTTGAGAGCAATGATCATGAACTGGCACAAGCAATCATTGATGGTGCAAACATAACGTTACCACATGGTAGGTGATCCTCAAGGACAACGGGGAACCCAGTGGGTTCATGTCTAATAGTAAGAAACCAAATGGGAAGTGTTCATTTACTTGCTGTGCATTATTCTACCTTTCTTTTTTTTTTTCTAAAAGGGGGCATTTCTCTTTGCTTCTTTGTGTATATTTAACTAGAGGTAGGTTTACTTGACATGTCTATATTCTAACTTTGAAAATATTTTTAATCTCAAGAATTAGAACTGTTGTTTACTTGTTAACTTGTATTTTTTAGCATCCATACAACCTAGTTCTCCATCAAGGTCCCAATTTCCTAGAGCTTCTACTTCACTGGTTTTCTACTTGCACGAAAGTGGTAGTCTCAAATGTAGATCTCAGAAGTCATAGAGACTCAGTGGATGCTCCTTTAGTCATTATACTTTTTCATCAAGACTATTTTTAGCATATACTTAGAAATGAATCTCATGTGATCCTAAGGACAGTTTCTATGATTGTAGCTCTGAGCATTATTAGAAACCTTTGCTTAGAAATGTGAAAGCTATGGTTTTTTTAAAAATATGTTTTTACTGATTTTTAGAAAAGGGAAGGGAGAGGGTTAGAGGGAGAGAAATATTGGATAAGAGAGGAACATTATCTATCAGTTGCCTCCTGTACACACCCCTTCTGGAGATCGAGCCAGCAACCCAGGCATGTACCCTGACCTGGAATCGAACTGGTGACCTCTTGGTTCCTGGGTCAACGCTCAACTGCTGAGCCACACCAACTGGACATGGAATGTGAAAGCTTTGAATATTTTCCAGGGACACGTATATACTGGACCCATGCACATCCTCTTGCTCAGTCTCCTTGATTAGACACACGCAAAAATGTTCATGCTATATAAGATTTAGGTGTTAATTTATCTTTTTTTTATTTCTATATTTATAAATTTATTTTTCTCTTCAGTTTTTCAAATTAATATTTTTCTAAGTTGTTCCTTTAGCCGTATATATATACATATATGTATACTAGGGGCCCGATGCACTAAATTCGTGCAAGAGTAGGCCTTCCTTCCCTGGCTGCCGGCACCGGCTCCCCTCTGGCACCCAAGACCCGGGCTTCTCTTGCAGCCTCGGCTTCTTCCCGAAGCTCGTCCGGTGTAATTAGCATATTATGCTTTTATTAATATGCTAATTAGACCAAACAGCCGAACAACCTTCTGGACGAAGCTGCGGGGGCCATGGCAGAGGCGGTTAGGGGCAATCAGGCAGGCAGGTGAGCAGTTAGGGGAGATCAAGCAAGCAGGTAGAGTGGTTAGGGGCGATCAGGCAGGCAGAGTGGTTAGGGGCAATCAGGCAGGCAGGCGAGTAGTTAGGAGCCAGCAGTCCTGGATTGGGAGAGGGATGTCCGACTGCCAGTTTAGGCCCGATCCCTGTGGGCCTAATCTGGCAGTTGGACATCCCCCGAGGGGTCCCGGATTGCGAGAGGGTATAGGCCAGGCTGAGGTCTTGGGCTGCCCCCCCGCCCCCGTGCACAAATTTCGTGCACTGGGCCTCTAATCTACACTAATAAAAGAGAAACATGGTAATTAGCGTACGACCGCTACCCTTCCCATTGGCTAATCAGCATATCCTTATGCAAATTAACTGTCAGCCAAGATGGCGGCCAGCAGCCATGCACTGAAG